TGCAACTGAACCTTTAGGGAGCTTGGACAATGGGGCTGGGTCCGGAAGTGAGCAAGGAGCCAGCAGAGGTCAGAATTTGAGAAAGATAGCATCATTCACGAAATAGTTGGGGGAAGAATATTCTTCCAAATAAGCTGAGGTGAATGGGTGCATTTGGAGTTTTCAGCAGGGGTGCCTGGCTGGTGCAGTCAGTTAAGTGTCCCACTCTTGGTTTCAGCTCAGGTGGTGATCTCAGGGTCATGAGATTGAGCCCTGCCTCAGGCTCCACGCTCAGCGCAGGGTCTGCTTGAGATTCTCTCTCCCTCTCTCTCTGCCCCTCCTGCTCGTGCTCTCGCTCTCTCTCTAAAATAAATAAATCTTAAATTAAAAAAAAAAAAGAATTTTTAGCAAAATGTGCTTGAGTCCCCACTACCACTCCCAGGGTGTGGCTGCCCAGCCAGGACCTGGGCATCCCACCCCTGAGCCTGGCCTCCTGGGAGTAAAGGAAGTCTGGGGACCCAGGGCTGCCTCCCTCCCACAGAGCTGCCCGTGAAGCCCACAGAGACCCAGGTCACCCTTGGTGGCCTTCGGGCTGGCACAGCCTACACCGTGCAGGTTCGCGCAGACACGGCAACGCTGCAGGGCGCCTGGAGCCAGCCCCAGCCATTCAGCATCGGTGAGTAGGAGAGCAGGGCCTGGGTATGTACCCAGCATGCACTGCCCCATCCCAAGCCTCCACAAGCAGCCCCACCCTGGCCCTGCTCCCCATGTATCTCCCACGGAAGAAAGTCCCAGCCCACTCTGCTCCCCCCTCCTTGTGCAGTTTCCCCTCATGGACCTTCTCTCACACTCCCATTGCCTTACCCATGCAGGCCCCTCTGCCTGGGATGTTTGTTCTCCCCGCTAACTCCTATTCCTCCTTAAAACTCAGCTCAAAAGCTTCCTCCTCCAGGAAGCCTTCCATGCTTTCCCCTGGGTGCCCGCCCCTAGTTGTGACAATCCTTCCTTCCTGGCCTGACACCTTGGGAGTGGGTGAGGGTGTCTGTGTCCAGGCTCTGCTCCCCCAGCCTGGGGGCTCCAGGGGAGGGGGAGGGGGAGGGGGCTGGGGGCCATTTGTTGAGTGAATGAATGAATGAATATGAATGAATGAGTGTCTCTTTTGTCACAAAGATAAGGAGGTGGGCTCCGCTGTCTTGGGGTGTGTGGCCGGAAGATATCTGGAAACCAAATGATCCCTGTTCCTGCCATGGTCCTTTCCTCTTGCCCTTATAGAGCAGTCTGGTCTCAAGAGAACCAGCGAGTCAGGCTTGGCGTGGGGTGGCAGGTCTGGGTCCAGGGGAGCAATCACGTGAGCACAACCTGTGGGCACGTGGAGCTACAGTGTCCTGAGCCCTGTGTGCCAGGCCTTTATCCTGCAGACGCGGGGCAAGTGGGTTCCCTGGCCTCCTGCTTCACACATGAGGAACCAGCCACAGAGGGACCCACGGCGTGCCATGGTCAGCAGCGAGTTGCTGGAGGGTCCAGCCCTCCCAGCTCCCTTCCCTGTGAGAGGCAGCAGGTGTCCCTCCCCCAACTCAACCTCTCCCACTCCCAGAAGTCCAGGTTTCCCGGTTGTTCGATTTGTCCATACTCCTCGTGTCTCTGGGGAGCTTCGCCAGCATCCTTCTCCTGGGCGTCATTGGGTACCTCAGCCTGAACAGGTAATTTGCACCATCCCCCCCGAGATGATCCGTAATGGCAATAGTGATCATAGTCACTGCTCACACCGAGTCGGTATTTGTGCCCACTTTACAGATGAGGAAACTGAGGCCCAGAGAGTCAGGCCCAAGGTATCCTGTAGTGGGGGCAGAGCTGGGATTTGAACCCAGGTCTATCAGACTCCCGCACCCCCCACCCCCAATCCACATCCATTCTCCCTTTATAACCTAGCAGAGATGAAAAGAGTAAGTCAGAACAATTAAAAAGTAAGAACAGAGAGAAAACACTGCTCCTCTGACCAGCTGCCTTCCCTCCCCAGGGCTGCGCGGCACCTGTGCCCACCCCTGCCCACACCCTGCGCCAGCACTGTGGTCGAGTTCCCTAGCAGCCAGGGCAAGCAGGTAAGGGCTCCTTTTCTAATTTAAAGTCCTATTTCTTGGGTCTATATTCTGGGCAAGAGTAATGGCCATGCATTAACTCATTTTATTCTCCCCTAACCACTGACACAGGGACTCCAAAAACCTGTCCTATTTCACAGATAGGCAAGCAGAGGCCCAGACAGGAACCTCCTGTGGGTCATTTCCTAGCAGTAGGAACAACCCAAAGCGGCCTCAACAAAACAGAAACCTGATGGGGGATGGGGGGGTGGATTCCCCAGATGGTGGGCTTCAGGCATGGCTAGGTCTAGGAATCCAGAGACTGGGCATCCATTTGTCTGGACTGCTGTTCTGCCTGCAGGCTTGCCTCCCACTCAGGCTCAGCCTTTCCCCAGTGGAAGAAGGGTGTCCATTTTCCCCGTTCACTTTAGCAAAAGTTTCAGGGCCATCACAGATAGGCCTAGCGCAGGTCACATGCTCATCCCTGAGCCTATTGTGGATATCAGGGGCTAGAGTGCTCTGATTGGGTGGGCCAGGTCACATGTCCATCACTCAACTTGTGGTGGGGCCAGTGCCCAACCACATCAACAGTGAGAAGAGGAGCAATAATTTCCCAAAGAGAAAGGGGGTGTGTGTGAGGGTGGGGGTAGGGGGGCTTCCTAAAAGGGGCTGAAGGGGGAGTGTCATTGAGGCAGAGCTGATCCTCAAATTTTTAGGGATTTTAGGGAATTAAGCCGGCAGGAACCTGATCTGCTCCCTATGTGGTTGGAAAATAGGGCCCTGTCCTTAGCCTTGACCCCACCCTTCCTATCTAGGCTTGGCAGTGGACAAGCCCCGCAGACTTCCCAGAGGAGGTGTCCCTGAAAGAGGCCTTGGTGGTGAACATGTCCTGGGAAAAAGGTGAGGGAACTGACCTGGACACACCTGCTGGGGAGGTGAAGACACAGCTGCTTCGGGGCACTCCTGAACTGGCCTTGGACACAGAGCTGCCCCTGGAGGACAGGAGACAGGTGCAAAGCCACCCCGAGTCTCGGGCTCTGGGGCCGGGCAGGCAGGAGGGTCTGGAGGGCAACCCTGCCCAGGTGGCTGGACTCTCACCGCCCTTGGGAGACCTGATACAGACCCCCATATTCAGTGGCCCTTCGCATGTGGGCCTGGAGGCCTGAGGGAGAGAGGGGAAAGTCGGCCGCCTCCTTCAGGCAGGAAGACGGAAGGCGGCTGATTATTAAGCAAACATTGCATACCCAGCCTGTTCCGTCTAGACACTCACGTGATGTCCTGATTCCCCGTAACCACCTCGAGAGGTACATGGCTATTCTATTTTACAGATATGACCACTGAGGCTCAGAGAGAGCAAGTGGCTAGCCTGAAGCTAGGGTAGCACAGGCAGGAGTCAAACCTGGGCCGAGTGACCCCATTTCCCCGTCCCGGCCCCTCCCCTCCGGCCAGCACAGGTTGCGCCACGCCCGTGGTGGGACCTCTAGGAACCACCATGAAAAGGAAGCTGCCACACCCCCTGACACCCATGGAGAAGGGACAGAACTTTTCAGGGTAGAATAGATTGGAGGGGGGCCCAGAGGGGGCTCATGCCGATCCCAGGACCCTAGGCTGGATGCTGTGTCCCAGGAGCACTTGACGGGGAGTCCGGGCACAGAGCTCCTGCTGCACTGCAGGGTCCAACCCCGGAGGAGGATCGAGTCGTGGGAAAACAAGTGGGGCCTTAAGCGTTCTGAGGGAGGTGCTGGCCCCTCCTCAGCCTCAGTCTCCTCCCCCGTAGAATGGGGGTGAGGATAATATTGAACTCGCAGGTCTGTCAAGAGGGGTCTACGGCTTAATAAATGGGCCTTCTGTTGGGTAACCCTCCCCTGGCTGAAGCCTGCACGGACTGTTCAAAACTCCCCAGTAGGGGAGTTCATTCATTCATTCCACACGCATTTATTCATCTCTCCCTCTGGGCGCCCTCAGGAGCACCCGGTCTGGGGGAAACAGAACGGGATGATCACTCGGAGCTCTGCAGAGTCAGGAAGGGGCAAGGGGAGCGAAGGCCCGAGGGGGAGTGGGATTTGGTCCCCCCCAAAACAGGAGCTTTGGTTCTTCCCCCAGCTCCGCCCCTCTTAGTGGTCCATCGGTTCTCCGCCCAGGGCTCAGTTCGGGAATTGGGGTTCCCCCTTTCTCCTGACACCCAACGCCCCACAGCAGGAACGCGTGCCCCCCCATTCGCACCCGGAATCTGCCCTTCTCCAGTCCCCTCCCTCCCCCCATTGTTAAACGAGTCGTCTCAGATTCCCCCCGTGGCCACCAGGTGGCAACAGCAACACGTGTCTCCCAGGCCTAGACGGGGTGCGGGGGGAACCCCCCCCCCCCGCCGCCTGCTGCGGAGTTTGCAAAACAGACTTTTCCGGTGTTAAGTGGGGGCGGGAGGGGCAGGGAGGGGTGGAGATTAGAACCCAGAGCCACTGGGTTGTGGCAAAAGGACCTGAAGCCTCTGGGTGAGAGGGGTCTGGCCCCACAGGCTGGGAGACTAGAGGTCCAGGCCCCGCCCCTTTGGGGGGCCCCAGTTTCCCATATATGCATCTAGATGGGGAGACAGAAGCCCTGGCCCTAATGACTGCTCCCTGTTCCGCGCACGCTCCCTTCCTTGACTTTGCCACCTCCCTGCCAGGCAGGCCTTCCCTTGAGAATCAGTTCTCAGTTTTTGGTGGCGGGACCAAGTGGGCAGACAGGAACGGATGCTGGGTCAGCGGCCTCGTAAAAAAGACCTGAGTAAAAAAGCCCCCGGCTCAGAGCTACCCCCTCAAGTCCAGGACTCCACACCCACGCCTACCGTCCCTGTAAAACCTCCAGGAAAGCTAAAAGCCCCCACGTAGGCTGCCCCAGTCCTGGGCCCACACAGAACAACAGAACCCTGTTTGGTGGCCCCTGAAGTTAACAAACCCACACCTAGGCACAGCCCCCTGCGTACAAGGAGTAGGAGAGAGACATTTATTTAGCACCATCTGGAACTCTTGCTGTTGTGAATGGAAAAGATAGACACCTTGCTTCCACTTGGGCGGCGGGGAGGCTGAAACTGCCTTGGGAAATCCGAAGCTTTCAGGGAGGACAGCAGCCCAAACAGATGGCTCCCTTGTCCCTGGATCCAGCCATGCCTGAAGCCCACCATATATATATATATCTATCTATCCAGGAGATACCCTTCTGGGTCTCTGTTTGCCCACCTATATAATAGGAAGGGGTTCAGAGCACTGGTTTGGGGTCCCTACCTCAGTAGGTTGAGCAGCCCTGCTTAGCGGAGCCCTGGCCCCCCGTTTTTTGAGCACCCGCTGTGTACTCACTACTCTAGGGTCTGAATATCCTTCCCTCAGCTCCTCCCAGAAGCTCCAGGAGTCAGGACTGTAGTAGACCCCATTTCACATCTGTATTCATTCCTTGATTTGTGAAGTCAGTGTTGAGCACCTACTGTATGCCAAGCCCTGTCCTATACGGGTCGGAATCAGTTCTGTCATGAGGGGCTTCTGGTGGGCTGAGGAAGGCAGACGCTAATCTAATCACCAATAACCCCGAGAGAGTGACGAGCGAAAGTGTGAACAGTGGGTGAGAGAGAGCTTCCTGGAGGGGGTGATATCAAGATGGTGAGGGGAGGCCAGCAAAACGAGAGAGCAAAGGCCCTGAAGCAGATGTGGTTGATGGGGGAGTGAGTGAGCCAGGGGGATAGAGGTCACTACTGGGGCCGAGGGAGTTTATTCCTAGGCTGGCGGGGTGGGGGGGGGGCCTGGAGCAGGATTGTTGAGGCCCAATTTGTGAGTTGTTCAAAGATTCTTCCTGCTGCTGTTCACAGGAGCAGGACTCAGCCTTACTGGCCTCAGGGTTCTGGTCTGTAAAATGGATAAGGAGGCCTCTCCAGAGCCCTTGGCCCCTTCTCACTCCCTCTCCTCTGTCTCTATCTCTCTTAAGTCTTATCAGAGAGAGAGGCTGCCTCAGTTTACCTCCCCAGATACCTCCCTCCTCTATTTCTCCAGTGGCCTCTGCGTTTGGTCAGAAACATTGTCTCTGTCTCTGCCCTCGAGCCAGGAAGGGGGTGCGGTATCAGCGGCCCCTGGGGACCCTGGGCTGTGGGAGATGACACACAGGACAGCCATGGCCTGGCGTCTCACACGTAACTGCCGGAGCCCTGCAGATGACAGGGATGCCCTGCCCCCAACTGTGCGCCTTTGTTCTTTCCTCCTTTTTTGTTTTTCCGTGGTTTTTTTGTTTTTGTTTTTTTAGAGATATCCACATACCATACAAATCACCCTTGCAAAGTGAACAATTCCGTAGCATTTGATGCATTCACAACGTTGTGCAACCACCACCTTTGTCTAATTCCAGAACATTTTCATCACCTCAAAAGGAAACCCTGTGCCCACGAGCAGTCACTCCCCTCCCGCCACCCCAGTCCCTGGCAACCACCAATCTGCTTTCTGTTTCTATGGATTGGCCTGTTGGGACATTTCCTATCCAGGGGATCACACAGCACATGGCCTTTTGTGTCTGTTCTTTTGTGGAAGAAACAGCATCATGTTTTTGAAGTTCATCCCCATTGTAGCATGAATCAGAACCTCATTCCTTTTTATGGCTGAATAATATTCCACTGTGGGGATGGATCGCTGTTTATTTCTTCATTCATTCCTTGGTGGGCACCCCCGGGGGGTTCCACCTTCTGGAGATTGTGAGCAGTCATTTCCGCTGCTGTGAGTATGGTTTACAGGCTTTGGTGTGAACACCTGTTTTTAATTTTCTTAGTACTTGCCTAGGCGTACAAATGTTGGGTCATAGGGTAATTCTGTGTTTAACTTTCCTTCTCGAGGTGCTGCCGATTCCCATCAGCAATGTGTGAGGGTTCAGATTTCCCCACATCTTCATCAATACCTGTTATTTCCCATTTGGGGGGCGGGGAGCCATCCTAGGGTGAGGTGGTGTCTCACTCTGGTTTGATTTGCCTTTCCCTGAGGACTGCTGGTGTTGAGCACCTTTTCGTGTGCTTATTG